ATTCCAAGACTTCATATATTAGCCGTTGGCTAAGAGGGAAAAATCACGAATTTGTTTTCTTGAATAACTATTCTTTCTGAAGATTTAAAACCTTTTCAGTAGAAGAATATAGCTGAGAAGCAAATTTAGTGACATAGTTAGAAGTGAGTAGAGAGGGGGGGTCTACCTCGAGTGGCAAATTAGACGAAGTATTTACAGAAATCATCACAGAGTTTCAACAGATATACACACATACCTTTTTTATTCTATCGGAATGTTTTAATTCAAACTACGAATGTCAATTGAATATTATCACGGTGACATTCCTACGGAAGAAATTCTTCATTAGGAAAAAATTATTTCAGAGTTTTACTTCCGTTATTGCTAGGGAAATCGAAACAGGAACCTGGAAAGGTAGCCCTTTTGAATTTCTGCAGTTTATTCTAAAATGCACTCTCCAGGCATTGTAGCAGTTGTGTGAAATTTCCTCTCAAATGCTGTAGTGTTACTAGTTGTAAAAAGTGTTTTCTAAAAAAATTCATTCAAGAAATATTTTAAGAATTACAAATGTATTTTTTGCATTGTTTTTTTTTCTTTTTTCTACAGTTTACTTAACAGCAAGAGCAATCAAATAGACATCTGCAATGTCGCTCATGGTTTTGCGTACAAAGAAGGTTAGGTTATTTAATTACGGCAAAGCCTCGAGGGCTATCTGCCTAAGGGGAGGGATGCCTTCGGGGAGGACTTTCTAAGGGAAACTGGCTCGTATACACGTTACACATGGGAAAAACCCCGAAAAAACCCAAGCAGCCAGCCCGTTCGCGGGATTCGAACCTCGGACCGAACTACCAGTATTCAGCGACTTTACCGCTCGGCCGCTGGTGGGCTTGCATACAACGAAAACAAATATATAATTTTAAGTTCTTGGAAGTAAGTTTTAACATTTTTAAAGTTTCAGTATTTAAAAAATTTTAATATTTTTAATATTTCATTTAAAATAAACGTAGAGGTTTTAATTATATTTCTCTACATGTTGTTTCGACAATTTTTCTAGTTATCGTTTTGTATATGAGGAAGGGCGACAAATTCAGTAACCGCCCCGGACGATAAAGGTTCTAGCTATACTACTGGGCAATATAATTTAGAAAAATATTTTTATCTGGCCTGTTAAAGACTTAACTATAGCTCTTCGTTTCATTCTCGTATTTAATATTTTATAAACCTTGTGGCAGTTCTACATCAAGTCAAACAATAAGCGTCATTTTGTTGATCATACACTACTTATTTTGTCTTTACGTCTCATTTATCTTCTCAATATTCCAAGTCTCTTTATTGTTATCATGTAGAGATTAATTCCATTAATAATCTAAAATTATTCATTAAATATTCAACAGTATTTACCGTATTTATCAGTTTCACCACTGAAAAGTTCAGATGAATGTTATTTAGCTTTTCTATTTACATGTTCTGCCCCAAGGCACTGCCCGGAAGAGAGGGATGCCTTCGTAGAGGATCTCCTAACGGAAACTGACTCGTATTAACACGTTGCACATAGGGAAAACCACGAAAACGCCAGTGCAGCCAGCATGTTAGCGAGATTCGAACCTCGGAGCGAACTACCAGTATTCAGGGACTTGACCTCTCGGCCGAATTACCAGTATTCAGGGACGTTTTCCTATTATTAAGCTGTTCTTCTCAAGCTTTTTAGATGAATTTTTTTTAAATTATATGCAACGCTATCTACCAACTCCGAGGAATGTTTAGTAGAAGGGAAACTGACTTATTTTCGCTTTACAAGTCATGAAAAACTACGTAGTAGATTCCTTGCCAGCAGCCAAAAGTCAAAGCCTAGACAAGTTACCAGTATTCAGCAGTCTCATTCACTACTGAGCTTCACTCCAGTTTTCAAAATTGCAATATATCTATAAAATTTCGTAAAAATTTTAGTACGTAGGTTTAACTGTCGCAATATTTTAAACTAATACTATATCTGCGTTAAGAACACTAACAATCGCACAATTGCATTTAAACTTTCAAATGAAAGAAAGAGACGACCCCGTTATAAATTTTGAATTAAAATCCAAAAAGGATTTTATTTTTATACTTATAGAGAACGACGAGTGCTAAACAATTTTATATGTGCCAACTAGATTTTCCAGTTAAAAAACATGCTTTCGTCATGAGCTCCCTTCCGAATGTGTTAGCCAAACATTTTTAAACAAAAATACACATGTGCGTATTATTCTGTCGACCATGAAACTTTCACCAAGCAGAGCGGTTTAGCTCCAGTTATGGATGAGCTTTACATAACACAATCATGACATCTGCGCTTTCGTTTGATGTAACCATGGAGGTAAGAAAGTTCCTACCTCCATGAACATGCAACATCATCAACATTACGTCAGTTAACCCCAATAGATTCTAGATATACCAGTTTTGTTTTCACGAATAAGGATATAAGTTAATTGTTATTGCTGTATTTCTTCTTGCATTTTGAAAAAATTAAAATTTGGGATCTGCCTTCTACAGAACAGCAAGTAGTGGATTATTTTAAAAATTATGAGATCCTGTTATAAAAAAAAGGGTATTAATGGACACGATATGATCAGCTAAATGTGAGCGACAAACGGATTGGAACAGTTACTTATAGAAATTTTCTAATCTGAACGTTCTGAATAGAGCTTTCGTTAACACGGGAGGGTTTAACAAAATAGTAACAATAGACGAAAATATTTTTACAAAACGCAAAAAGCAAAGTGGGTCGAATCCTAATCGTTTATTCAGAATTTCGCAATTTCGGAGGGATCTCGACCAACTTTATCCATTTTTCATGGTCAACAGGATAATACGTAAGCACCTATATGTATAATTTAAATACGTTATAAGTATATAAGCAAGTATAAGTACATAAGCAACGAAATAGGATAGTACAATTTAATGTTTTACGGACAATATTTACTTTAAGAACAGTTTTACAAACGGTAAGAGCTACACATTCAATGGTGACCAACAGGCAACATAAGCTCATATAGTACATTTCTACAGAAACCTGTTTGGCACGTGTTGTTCTCTGATATAAAAGATACAATTGACCAAATCCATGTTGGGCGAAAATACGTTAACTGTACATACATTATGCGGTCAAATACATTTGTAACAAGAAACTGTTATCACGCATTAGCTATTAGACTCTTACCTGAAACATTTAGACGAGCTGTGAACAGAAACAAATTTTAAAATTCTACTCCAGCCGAAAATCAAATTATAGGAATCTGAAAGAGCTTCATTGCTTAATATAGACTACTGTAGACATAGTATCAGCATCACTTATATGCACCGGAAAACCAAAAAAATCCGCTTGACTCATTCTATTACAATATTTACTTTTTTGCGGTGAGCTAGAATGCGCGATACCTCCAAGTTATCCTGCTATGCAATTTTCTTCGAAAGCAAAATCGAATTAACATGGGATGGCTAGAAAAGGAATTATTACAAATTAATCTCAATGCTGGTCAATATGGTAAATTGAACAGGTGAGAAAAAGATTATGCTCTCCAAATTTATTATTAGTATAGAATGAGATTACACCGACTCGAGACCAACTGTTTATCTGTTACTTAGCTGTCATTTTTTGTCTTATCATTTAGCTGAATGTCACTCAAATTGCGCAAACAAGAAATAAATTCATTTTCTAACTCCAGAAAATATGTTCACGAAGCTCAAATTCATGACTAGTATATAGAGAGCTTCGTTTAATAATGTGTTTACGCTTGTCCACGACTATTTTCATAATGTTAAGAAATGAAAAAAAAAGTGCCCTTCAAAATAGCAATGGAATTTAACAGAATTAATATAATATAACCAGAAACACATTACTAAGTTAATAAGCAAAATCACGTCTTATTATTTATGTAATCTTTATAAAAAATTTGTCCTTTTTATGAGTAACATATTTCGCGCGTATATTTTTTCATAAAGCGCATGATAAGCATGCTGTTTATAAAATAATACACAAAGTTCTATTCCTTAGATAGAACAATCTTCTTATACAGTTTTGCAATTTACTGTACCTTCAATTACGTATTATTCCGTCGACTGTGAAAGTTTGCTATTATCGACCCACGAAAGTTAGCGGAGATCCCGCCAAAGTTGTGCCAGCTGTTCCTGCGAAATGTCCAAGGAACTTGGTGAGTCCTTTATTTCATAAGCAACCAGTGATCGATCCGCTTCGTTTTTTCGCTTCGTAAAAATTCTATTGTCAAATTCCACTTTTCAGGCTCTCCTATTTTGGCGAAGGCTCTATTTAGAACGCTTTGAATATAAACTAGGTAGTTGTTTCAATTTATTATTGTTTTGTCGACCATATTCAACTGACCGTATTGTTCCATTAATACACACTTTTTGTGTCTTTTGATAATTTAAAAAATAATCCACTGCTTGTTGTTCTAGAGAAAAAAGGTCCCGAATTTTAATAATATTTTTCAAAATGCAAGAGAAACAATACAACGTTAAAAGTTAATTTATATCCTTGTTCATAAGAACAAAGCGTTGTTTATTAAGAATCAATCGGAGTTAAAAACTTCAAACGAAAATAGATGTTATCAGGGTATTGTTACGTCACGTTTCAACTAAATTCACCTCCTTGGTGACGATTTCACTGTCGACGTGATAAGTAATTTACTATTATTTATTAAAATCTTAGAGAACGTTACATTGTTGTAATTTAAGAGAGTATAGCCGCGTTCTTTCATTTAGTAACGTTTCACTGCATTGTGCATTACCCATTAATTTTCAAATTTATTCGAAGTTAAGAATTTTCTCTTGGTTAAAAAAAAAAAACGCACAATTTAAACTCCTGCAACATTTACATGATGCATGTTTATTTAAAGATTAAAAAAAAGAAAGCAAATGATTTAAAATTATTACTATTAAACAAAATTTGCAGTTAGATATACAAATATTTAAATTGTAACAGCATTTATTTCTATCAAAAATCTTAATGAGGGGAAAAAAGCACTTACGTAATTGAAACAACATTCCATGGATGATAATTTGTGAGCACTTGTGATTTGATAATTATGGACCTTCTGAGAAACATCATCAGATTATTTAGAAATGTTGCCTTCGCCTAAACTGCAATGGAACACGCGAATCAGTTCAGCAATGCTTCATGTTTTACCAGTCACAGTTCTAGTATCTGCTGGCAGATATCAATTGTTGCCAGCTTTACACATTTTATCGCAAAAGACAAACTGAATGGATCTGGAAATCGATAACGTTTCCGAAGAAATCTTATTCCACAAAGCTCAATTTGAGATCTTTTGGGAGAGAAAAAAAAAAAAAAAAACCTTTGAAAAATTCTAAATCGTAAGTTCTTTGGATAAAAAAAAAGGAAAAAGAAAAAGAAACGAAATTTTAAAAATGAATTTATAATTTAAGTCTGGTTCAAAAATAGCTGCTTTTTGGGGTAACCACAAGATCTTATCTGCTTATGATCACAGAAGGAAATAAAGGATCGACAATTCACTAATTTATAAACCCTGCCGAAAAGTATGCTCTAACGTAACATATTTCCGAGCCTTTGTTTTATAGTATTCTTATTCGCAATCAGCTGTCAATGTCAAAATCTGATAATGCCTTGAAAACTTCAGAAAACATCAATAACCATGAAATCCGTTTACAAACTGACGTATCATCACATTTACTGAGAGTGTTATGTATTCTCTATACAGTCATTGTTGACTGTATCACCCTCGCATTGTAGATAACAGAATTCCAGAAACTCTTCTATATTTGTTTTGTCTTTATCTTCGAAAACACATTAGAAATTGATATTTCGTATCTCTTACAACCACATAATGAAATGCGTGTGAGAAATAAATTCAAATATTCATTTTGAATTTGACAACTTTTTTTTTTCCTAACTACTGGAATATTTTTAATGAAAACGTTCGTGAGTTCTTCTGATAGGCTGTCCCTATAGTCGATATGATGATGAGTGAAGTTGGGCTTTTACAATTATCATCTCGGAATAGGGTAAAAACATTTGAGATGCTTTGCTTCGGATCGGGAATAAGGTAAAAACTTTTAGCATGCCTCTCCCCATACCTTTGGAAATGCAATATCACTCGTGCTTTGTGTACCTCTTAAACATTCTCGTTCAATAGAAGGCCAAATGAGCGATGCGTTCGCTGAATGTCATAGGTAGAAAGTACCTATCCACAAAACATATAAACATCCTCTGAATATCCTGTGGGAAATGCTTACGGGATAAGCGCACATCCCAGAACATCTTGAATTATTCTCCTAACATCCTAAACATGTCCTCCCGAGTGCTTAATATTATATCTCAGTATATTTCCAGAACATCCTCTCTAGGTACCATCAACAGCTTACGAGATGTTATGAGGATCCTACTACTTGAAGTCGTACTTACTACATTCTCTGACTATAACGGGATTTCTCTGAACATATTCTGAACCTCCGGAACATTCTTTTGAGTTCATACTGTCACATCCTAGTATATCTTCAGGACATTTTGTTTAGATACTATCAACAGTATATATATATACTATCAACCTTAAGCTTCTAAACGCGTTCTGCTGACTGCTTAATGTCATATCTATGTATAGCATCAGGACATCCTGTCTAGTCGACAAAGTACGGAATGCTATTGTTACTTGAATTCTTACTTATTATATCCTCAGGACATCTCGTAATATCCCACTAATATCCTTCCTAAAAATTTCCCATTATAAATTCATAATATGCTAGCTACATTCTATCAACAGAATACGGGATGTTATTAGGATTTAAGTCCTACTTACTAATCCAGGAATATCCCGTTAACTTCGAAAACACATTCTCCCAACTGCTTAATGTCACATTCCATTATATTCTCAGGGCATGATATCCTATATACATCTCATCATCAGAACACGGGAAGTTATTAAGATTTTAAGTCCTACTACTACATCCCGGAATCTCCCACTATCCTAAACGCATCCTTTCCAGTGATTTATGTCACATTCCAGTATATTCTCAGGATATCCTAACTAGGTCACAATAGAAAGCTATGTGATGTTATTGGGATTTGAAGGTCTACCTACTACATCCTCAGGCCATCCCACTAACCTCCTAAACATACCTTTCCGAGTGCCTAACGTCACATCCGAGTATATCCTCAAGACATCCTTTTAGGTCTCATCGATAGTACATGGAATGCTACTGGGAGTTTTAAGCCCTACTTACTACATCCTCAGAATATAAAGGAATATCCCCCTAACCTCCTAAATACGTCTAATTATATCCTCATGATATCTTATCTGGGTCCAATCTTCCTACTTACCACATTCCGAAATATTTCCTTAACTTCCTAAACACATCCTTCTGAATGCTTAATGTCACAGCCCAGCATATCTCCAGGAATCTTCCTTAAGTCCCACTAGAACTGCGTGAGGATGTTGTGATGACCTAAAGCCTACTTATCTGCCACGGATACTCTCAGGTCTATGTCCCAGCTTACTGTGAAACAGTAAAAAATGTTGAGAAGATTTGTATAAGTTTTACTTTTTAATTTTAATTTCAGTGTATTTATTCATTTGTAAATATATTTAAATGTGAGCAAGGGACTTAAAATGAATCACCAGTACAAAATATTACAGTAGAATATTTTGCTTTATTTTTTAAATTACGATTTAAAAAAATAAAAGCCATATGGCCAATAACAGCCATTAGTAAAATAAAAGTCTGAAGTATACCTTATGTAACACATCTTTATAGTTGGCATAGCTCCCAACAAAAGACTCTAATAAAATTCAGAAACTTTCTGGACGCACGTGTTCCTAACTATATATAGCCCCTGCTTTGGCCAAATTCCATAAGCATGATATTTTTTCACATACCAAAAGTTCACAAAATTTATTGCTTGTAAAATATTATTAAAAGCTCATAAAGTGTAATTTGACTTGTATGCTTGAACAAAGCTTCCTGCCAATCCTTTTGATGTTTCTTCTTGAAAGCTTTCAGCCAATTCTTTTGGTTTTCTTCTTGAATGTAGGCTAACACAGCATTACAAGAAATATGAAGTCATCCAGTCCTGCAATATTCTGAAGTACCATTTATACCTAAATTAGACTTTTGGTTGGTGTTGAGAAAAGTATTTTTTAAAGCATTTAAATATTCAAACGATATTTCGAGATTATGCTTTTAAATTGACAGTAGTTAAACGGTCAGTCTAACCCTTAATTCCAAAACAGAATAATTGTTTACTCAGTGATATCATAAATAAGCTAATTTATAATTATTTAGGATAAACTCTGAAATCATAGTAAGGCTGTAATTATTCTAAGCAAGATGCAAGCGAGATAAACACTAAGATGGTTCCAATTTTCGGTATGCACTTTGAAAGAATAAACTGTGGGTTAAAGTTCTAAATTGTCACATGATAAAACAGATTAAATCTTTAAACTGTTTATACTGTATGTGTTGATTTTCCAGAAAATCTCGATTAGTCAAGAATCTGCAAATTGACATCGAGTCTATTGGGTCCACAGAAGTTTGTAATAGCATTTTTCCAAGTCTCATTATTCATATTTTGCTCTGTAGGTGTTCATGCTTACTTCCCAAAGTGAATGTAAGTCGGAAGATAAAAGTTGAATTTTATTGAAGATCTGAAGAGTTTATATTCAGTACTGTAGTTGATGACGGATAGAAGATATCCTGAAGATTCTTCTAAAAACTCTCAAACAGGGACGAATTCTGTAACATTTCAATTCTAAAATATATCTTATATATCAGCTACGACGAAATAAAAAGCACAGTTAAATGCACGATAGCAACATACACGAGACCTCAAACATGCGTTAAAAGCCATCTATATCAAGTGACAAAAACCGCATTAAAAACTGGGAACATTTCATCGAGCTAAAGATTTAATTATACGATTGACTCCCAGGAACTTCTACAAAAAGTTCTGTTACTGTATGTCATTTTTATATATTATTCAGATGAAGCAATTTTTAACTTAACTGGATAGCCCTCATGTGCATTACCGTATAAAAATAACTTAACCTAACTTAAACAATTTCCCGTTCTGTGCTTGCTGTGAAAGTTCTCTGAAAGGCTCAAAACTTAATATATCACCGTAGTAGAGGATATTGTGCCAATCATCTTCTCTCAACTTATCTCAACAAGTTGCCAAATTGTGTCTAATTTGTTTACAACGTTTGAAAACTTTTAATTTATATATGGGGCATTTGTAAGGCTGAATTTTTATCTTCGTCAGTCGAATAACCAATAATAATAATAATAATAATAATAATAAATAAACTTCGCTATATACCTGTATAGGCATCTTTTTTTTAATGGCGGCCTCTGGCTTTTGAGGTTACTAAGATCGGAATCGGTGGTCTCTTTATTATGGAGGCGTCTAATGGGTGGATCACCATTTCCTCCTCTTAAGGGATTGGCAAATTACATCCACGCGTTCTTTGAGATTCGAGCCCGGGCCCTACGATACCCATTTCATTTGTAATAAAAATCAGTATTTATGTATTTATTGTATAATACAAAAAAAAAGGCTATGCGATAATGTCATTCAAAATTTCAGGAGTAAATTACCTCCTCAGTTCTAACTTCAGTTATTTCCTCACTTCATTTGAAACTACTGCCTTTAAAAAACCATCAAGGGGAGTCGTCAAGTTAGAGCGTGTTTCTTAGTCTCGAAGTGTTCAAAGTTAAACGGGCCTTAATGTACTCTAGAGACGATATCAAAGGAAAAAAACCTTTTGTGGGGAAAAAAACACCATTTCCATAAGAAAGCCGCTTAGTTTATGGAATCACTTAACTTTCTTTTAGTTGCAGGTTGCTTTACCAAAAACTTATCCAATAACATTTGCGTCTGTCTCCTTTTTAAGATGCTTCAAAATGCGACACTACATTGTCATTACAGAAGTTCATGGTGCTTCCCACACACTGCTTTATTAGGGGTTTTTGTTCCCACTTTGCCGACACTTCTTTAATCTAACTGGAAGAGAGCGCCTCATCTCTTGTTCCTTCCTCCCCTAATGATAGCTCTTCTACTACCTCTTGCGGCTGCTCCTTGTGGAGTTCTTTAAGTTCGCCCGTCGTACGTTCTTCACTACGCTCCTCCAGTAACTCATCTAAATCAGCACCATCCACATACAAACTCATAATTTTCCCCAGAGATACAATTCCTTCGACTAGATGCACTGTGTTGTTACAGTTTGAGGATTGAAGCCTAAGTCAGGAATGCTCTCAGGCACAGTTTTTTCAATGCTGAATTCAGAGTCCTCATTGAGACTTCCTCCAAAGCCTTATCAGTGAGGTTTAAACAATTTAAGATGTTGAAGTTGTAGAGACATTAGGTAATTTTTTTGGAAGCAGAAGAGATGAAAAATTAGCAACGCCTTCGCCGAGAATCGAACCACGGACCTCTGGAATACCGGCCCAGCGTGCAGAACCACTACACCACGATGGCACGCTAGGAAAGTGGGAGAAATACCTTATATACTCCCCTTTTTAAAGGGCGAGTGGGGTCTTAGGGGACCCAATCGCCAAATCCTG